GCCTTTGGCAAGTAAAGTAGCTTCTCCACTCGAACTGCCACCTGCCAATCGCTTCACATCAAGCGGATTTCTTTGTTTACTGTATATTTCTGTGGACGCATCTAGAGACATTCCCGTGGGGCTCATAGTCGTAGTCACAAACGGCACAGCTCCCACCTTCCGAAGCACCTTCATCAACACACTGTCTTCTTTAGCCGGATCCAAGACGCCTGACACGAGGACAATTGGCGAATCACAACCAGCGACCTCGATGCTCTCCTTGATACTGACAGGCATTCCGCGAATCGGTGATGAAACGTCTGCGGAAACCGACGTTGCAACTGTTTCAGCTTCCTCAATGATCTCACAGACGCATCAACCACCCGTTTCTGGTATAGACGGAGGGCTTCCAGAGATGTCATTTCATTGGCTTGAAGGCGTTGCTGCACCTGCGGCGCATCAAGTTTATCAAGGTGCGAAAGAGGAGGACAGGTTCGGACTCGGTCCCGAAGACGCGATCGAGCTTCCTGCAAATGCTCCTGCTTCTTCTTTATACGACTCATAACACTCCTCTTCCTGACTATGAAACGAATTAGAACAAGTGTCAGGAAAAGTAGAAAAGTGCTTCTAATAAGCTTCCATTTGTCGACTTCTGCCGGGAAATTCCAAACATTATCAACCAGTCCTGTCATTCTTCTTCCTAAATTAAAGAAGTTAGATTAATGCTTCTGTTTTACTCATTGCCACCAAAGTCTCCGAACATTAACATGAGGGTCAGGATTCTTATAAGTCCTAGATAAGTCTTGTTTACCAAGCAAATAACGCGCCTGCAATACAATCCAGACGGGAATATAATATGTTAAGATCATACACTTCATTGTGCTGACTCTTTCTTTATCCACACTTTATTTTAGTAAACCGCTGGTAGCAGCAAACTTCGACACGCACATTAACACTCAGGCTGCTTAAAACAGCAAACACAGACTACAGAACTGAATTAACCAAATAGAACTGTTCAGTCATACTTGACTCTAAAGTGAAGAAATCAGATAAAACCTTTCAAATCTTTTCGACCGCAATTATAATCCAATCTAAATGACTAAACTTTTGGTAATTTACTCGGCACAGGTAAGTTGGATACAGAACGATTACATGAATGTCTTAAATTGAGATATTTTTAAGAAAAATCAAATATCACGGTAACCAACAACGATCTTTATTTTAAGATGCTACTACACAAAATGAAATATACTATACTAGTACTGAACATGTTTTTTCCATAAAATATGCACACACGACTTCAAGCTGTCAACCGAAATTTAATTAACACATAGAATAAGTAAATGCATTACGGCTACATAGGACTATGCTACGCCTTTTACATGAACTTACGTTCAAAATAAGGATTCAGATTCGTTAAATAGAAAAACTTGATTACAACGAATGCAACTTATCCTTTTCAGGTTTTTACTAACCTCGGTTTAGGACAGCGTTGAACAGGTCAGGAAAATGGGAACAACAATCAAGTTGCCGGTTTTTAAAGTTACACGACGTCCTTGAAAAATCATAGGGAAATAGCCATTTCAAAAAATCGTTTATGCGAAAAGTGAACAAGAATTTTAAACTCTAGATAAATGAGACCTAATATAGATAGTTTGCACGGGGCAGAGTATATACTTGGGTGGGTGCCACAAAGCTCTAGCAAATGCCTCTGCATCATTAAATCATTTGCGGAAACAACATGGGTGCGTTTATAGATAAAATGCGTTAGTGGTGGGGATCCAAATTAACTTGCAGGAAATCACAAGTTATCTCGTTTGAGCTAAGTTGACAGTGCCGACCAAACGGTTGCCTAAATAAGTAGGATACTGTCTACAGCTTAAGTGTGGCCGCACCACCCGGGTTAATCTCAAATCATGCGACAGAAAACAGGGACTAAAAAGGACCATATTTATTTTGGACCATGGTTCATGATGGCAAAGGGCGTATATCATAAGGTCAAAGCTAGTGTCGGTACTAGAGGTGTGTAAGCGTAAAGGGATCTAGAATGATCTGCAGGTTCCTGGGGACCACATGAGGCGTGGTATTGAAGGCTCAGGAAGGAAGGAAGGAAGGATACCGTGGAATAAGGGTAAGAGAAGATTGAGTGAGCTTACCGAATATCACGCAGCAAGGGTCTAGATCAAATCTATTTTGCTTTCTTATTAACAATATGGTAGGGCAATGGTTTTGGTAATTCCGAGTAGTACGCATCGATTATACAAGTCTTTCGTTAAAATTTTTCAATCCAAATCGGAAAGAGATTTCACCTAAGGGCAGCAATTTCCTTGTTTTTAATATCCACACAAAACGTTATTACCTCGCCAAACTCTAACATAACGCGCAATTTTAATGTAGTCCAAAGGACGCATTGGTCATGTGATCAATAATATTCCTCGTTGTTTTCGAGAGTCCTGGTCTAACACACTTGTCAATTAAAAAGAATGCCACCAGTTGAACTACCAAAAATATATATGTCATTGTGTAAAATGAATGATTTCAACATGAGCAAAGTCCTCCTTACACAGTCTAAAAATGCCATTCTAGTCGCGGATATAAATTGATCAAAACTACTCCCACACAGAAAGAATGTCACCTGAGCACTTCATGTTCCTTTATGTCGTCACACAGCTACTGACTGAAGTCTCACGAGGTGATATTCTGGTTCGCGTCCGTTACCTTGCTACGACACCAGGGCAATGCTGCAATGCCCTCCTCACATTTGCAGCCAACTGGGTGTGACTTGTTCGCCAACCTAAACTCCTCAAATTCTCTTGCTTCAGTATCTTTATTTTTTGTATTATCGACTGAATAAATGAAATGTTATAGAATGATACGCCACTACAAGATAGCTGAATGTCCACAAACGTGATTGAAATCATAAGAGACAGCCAAGAATGTGAAATTTGCAAGATGAATCGGACCTCTTGGTGAGTCTCAGTTGCACGTCAAGTGGTGAACTGAATATCCTACTTTAACTAGGTGGTCAAGAGGATAGCTGTCGCAGCCAGGATCGTTTAACTAATAGAGTGCTAACCGGATTGCGGCGATGGCATCGCTCTAGCGGATTTTTACAACGTCTTGAAATAGAAACGAGACACGAGTGAAAAAGTACGTAAGTGAAATATTTGGCATTAAGCCTCGTGGGTGATGGGCACCCGACTTCACTGACTAATGTCGATTGAAACAATGAAGGAGAGAGTAGTGCCCATACCATGATATCTGCTGATTTGAGGCTAGTGCAGTTTAACTGCGAAAACTGTTGGACGATTCGGCCTGGCTATTCTGGCCTGTGTTCAAATGAGCTTGCAGTTAACTGAGAAAGGCTTAATGTTTCATGACTCAAGCACACTCACAGTTTTCTTCAACTGCAACGTGAGTGTTTAGTAGGGTGGTGGTTGGTGGACCACCAATATTCAGTACTATGCGAGGACCCCTGTCTTGACTGACGTCTAATGTGGAAATGATTTGATAAATTTGAGAAATGTGATAAATGTGCCACAGACCAGTTCTTGACTGTCGTCCTATTGATTATGAGAGATCCTTCTTGGTGTGTTGAAGTCGAAGCAAGTTGGTCTTGTTCCATCCCAAAGGCGTTGTAATTTGTTTTGTTGAAACATCCTTTGGGGTGAAAAGCTATTAAAATGCACAATGTGTCACATTACGGTGAAATGTAAGAAGACAGCGTGACTAGTTTTACTGACATGTTTTAATGTCAAAAACTGTTATTATTTCAACGAACGCATGTGTTATGCAGATGTTGCACTTTGAATTATCCTGGATCAAGGTCAATATGCAGAGATGTTACCGGTACAATCAGGGTTTCTTCTTGGGTGTTGGCACTCTGCTAATGGAATGCGCGACACTGTGGACGTGGAAAGGTGACACCTGAACAAACATGACATACCCACGCAAACTCATTAATGGTTCGTAAAGCCTTGACAACATAGAAACGATTTTGTACTCTTGCCCAATAATGTGTTAGGTACTTGATCTTCTAATTAAAGGTACGCTTTATAGAAAATCAAAAAGTTTTCTAATTTGCTAAAGTTGTCAAACTCGCTCCTGGTTCCTCATCTGTGTTGCGCTTGAATTGCTCCAGTGGAACTTGGTGAAATGCTGGCTGCTGGTGTATTTCATTAACTTCAAAATGGTCAAATGTTGCATTCTTTTTGGAATCCTTGAAATATAAAAAAGCTGTTGATCGATATTGGCAACAGAGCATATTGAGCGTGCCTGCGCTATCAGCACCACGCCGAAGGGTTCACTTGGTCAATCCTGTTAGTCTGGATGCTGCTCTCGTAGTGGCCACATTTCATGCAAATGCTGCCTGCTCGGGAAACTAAACATCAGCTTGGAAAAATTGCAATAGTTTCACAAGCGTTGCTCATTACCTGTCGCGACAACTGCGCAATATTCACGTCGGAGGCTTGTATATGTCCACAGGCGCCCCATGCTCACGTCTTTGACAAATTAAAACTTATATCTGGTCCACTCGAATAGAAAGAATGAGAAGACCGTGTTCTCCGACGCAAAAGCCACCAGGTAGTCCTTAGGTGGCCCTCTTTTGGCTACAAACTGGCTTGTTATGCACTAACACACCCATTTTGAGACTTCTTCCAGGTATCTGTGATGAAGCCTCTGATTGTGGAAAGGAAGAAATGCACAACGGTAAACATTTGTGGAGTCCAGATTCTTGAAGATGCCACAAAAGAAATAACATGACAGGTAATTGGCAATTTTTGGGGATCCACGCAACATTCTGAAAAGGTGAAGTGGATGAGATTTTCCGAGGTAATATTGCTAAGGTCGACAGCTGCAACGAGACCTTTGAAGATGTCAGCGCTTGAATCGCCATCAACTTCTTACTCCTCCTCCTCCTCCTCTTTCTTCTTCTTCTTCTTCTTCTTCTTCTTCTTCTTCTTCTTCTCCTATTGTGATGTAACTAGCTTTAAATCGAGTTGCTATTGTTCGCAACTTTGAGTCCTCTGCCGCACCCTTAGGCCGAATGTCCGTCAATACGGTCGTCTTATACTCCACTTCATTCGGTCCGAATTCGCTGCTTCGCAGGCGCACGAAATGGTCGCTGGTCCCCACTATCAACCCCATGGAGTGTTTAGCGTCAAGCTGACAAAATCACCTGCATTGACAGTGGTTGCCAATGCGTAGTCATTGAGTAAACTACAATAAAGCCTTACGTGGTCTGGAAGGAATTCCTGAGCACAAATTGAGGTTGGTTGTTTGCAGATAGTCGTGCGAGCATCTGCTGTCACCTCGCTAATCAATAATGCGACTCAATGAAATAGTCTGACATGGTTGTGCCTAATGCCTCTGTGGACCACATCGTTCCTTCTGTGGAAGCACGTCTGTGGAGAAAACAAATTACAAGGGCACGATTCATCAGTAATACTACTGAAAAATGTGTGATGCTGCAAATATTTCCACAATTTGAAATTTCGACATGCAGATATTGGCAACTGTTGCGAAACATCTATTCGTCCATTCACCCCCCCAGCAGGAAACGGC